TATAGACGAACCCAAAACTGGGCGCGGGTAACGACGAGGGGAACCGGGTGTATCCGAAGTTTATGGTTAAGACCTATGTATTATTCTTGACCCGAAATCTCCAGAATGCTGCAGACGGACCTACAAATTCAATCTAACTCGTTCTTGACTATTTCGAACTAAAAGTGGGTCTTTAGCTGATATTTGATATTATTTTTACGGATAATTTGATAATATGCATACCCTTCCCGGAATCTCGACGAGAAGATCCGGGGTGACGACGGGGGTGAGGACGATGTTTTCGACCCGCATATCCCCGTCCTCACCCCCTAACTCTCCCCAACTTCGACGGTAGGATCCGGGGATTTGGCTGGCAGGGAAGGTTAGGGTTCCGTTTAGGTTTAAGATTGGTGTTATGGTTATGATTCAGGCAAAGTTGAAATCAGTACAAGGGCTAAAGGTGCGGTAGGATAAGTTTTAGGAAAAGAACACGAGAGTATTTATGATTTCTATGAGTTAGTATGAGGCCATTTGTACTACGGAGGTGTGTTCCTACTCCTGTATCCTATTGATAGGGGTCATTTAAATACCCCCTACGGAATAACGCCTTTCAAACGATTTCTGGAGGTAACATCGGCTGCCACAATTTTCTAGTACCTGCCCACAATGACCACCCTTGTTTGAAGTATGAAAACTATACAACAGAACCCACACTTAACGCCATAGAAGTCTCAGTAGGTAATACTTCTGTAAGTAGTGAGTCGAGTCTCATTAATACCTAAATTTGCTTACTCAGTCCATAAAGGCTGCAGCGCAATTGCAGGAATATAGTAATAGTTTCCATTCTTCATTTTACTAGCTTTTTTCTAACGCAGAATTTATCAACATCCCAAAAATCCAGGTATTTCGTTTCAATAAGTGCGTCTTCCCTAGTAGTCAGGGATGTCGTTTCCTATCGCTAGGAGCTTAGTGACCCTTAACGGCATATTCTGACCAGTTAAGTTGCCATGTTACGCGAAGATTGCCGTGCAGAATCATCCTACGCATGGTTTAATGGGACAAAATGTTGAAAAGCCGCCTTGTGATGCAATTAAACTTGAAGTCATCTAAACTCATAGTTGTCATAGTTAAAAAGGTCTTTAAAATGCCATTTTCAAAATGCCATGGGCCGAGAGCTGCCTTTTTGAAGTTACGGATGCGTTACCGAAAATAGTGAAGAGAGTAAATTCAAAAGAATGAACAATTTGACTTTCTGATTGAACCTGCATAAAGAAAAATTTTTAGGCCATTTCTTTTTCAATTCTACAAGTACGCGAAAGCATCAGCGCAGAAAAACGCCTGAGCAATAGATCCCACTGGCATCATAAACTTAATCTTTCGCAACTGTTCTACTATAAATTTCGTAAAATCCCGTGTCCATTCAGAAAAAATATAGGATATTTATGGCTTAAGGAGCTTGGAATACGGTAATCTTGGTACTAAATGTGATTTGGTTTCAAAGAGGTCAAACTGAATAGTCGTGGACAGGGATTCTACAATTCTTTTACTTTAATGTTATTCATTGCGCTAGACTTCTTGCGGCTGAAGCATTGCCGTACAGGACCGTCTTTACTGAAGTAATATAACAGCCTACCTAATTATCTACTATACTGCCAGCACTTATATTAGCTTAAGGTCCACACACATGTTTAACCAACATTCCGCCGCTGCAGGGCACGGCTGTGAGGGATTGGGCTCATTAGTGGGTCCCCTCACAATTCCCTGCGTGGTTTCTAGTAGATACTGCATTTTTGAAATGTTTGCTTTTTAATTTCCACAAAAATATTTTACAAATCAGCGAAGGTTCCTATGTCCAAGAGTATGCAAGTGCGGACCGAAAAGTCATATTAATACTTGGACCGAAGTCTACCAGCCACTGCGGAAGGACCGCGTAATATTCCTATCAAATTTCAGTCCCTGTATGTAGACCCTTGAATATACACACCGACCCCGGGTCGGGAGTACATGTATGAGGGAATTTAAAAGCTACGGATTCAGCAGCCGTTTTATTTATACATCGTGTTCATCTTGGCAGCCGCTAAGTTTATTTACTTTAAATTTTATTTTAAGTGTTAAGCGTAACCACGTAGAACTAGATAGGTTGGTTGTCGTCTGTGCCTACATTTCTGCATAAGGTTTATTCGCGGTCCTCAATCTCTCTATTCCTAACTTACATTTCATAGA